TCATTTTTAATCTAATGGTCCAAATTTAATTTAGATTTCAAATTTATTTTCAATTTTTCCTCTTCTATTTAAACATCCTTCTTCTCCCAAATTTGTACATCTATTCTCTCCCAATTTTCTCTCCAATTTCATCCATTGTTTATCTCTCCAAAAATTTCGATGTTTCTTTAAATTTGTTGTGAGAGATTTATTTTGAGAGAGATTCTTGAGCTTCCAATTTTATTTCTTTAGCGAATTTGAGGGCTTTTATTTGTAAGAATTTTTCTTACAAATTTGTGAGCAAAAATTTGTGTATCCACTCTTTTTAGAGAGTTTGTGAGATTGTTCTTTAAAATTTCATATTCTTTGTAATAGTTGCTCTTGAGCCCAAAAAAGAGCATTTGTAACGGTTTGATCCTGAACCATAGAAAGGATCGGGTTCGTTCTTGCTCCATGACTCCTACCGTGGAAAAAGTCAAAGTTTCTTAATCGAATACTCAAGAAGCGCTTGGGGAGTGGAGTAGGCTGATTGTTGCCAAATCACTATAAATTTCTGGTGTCATTTTCTGTAACCATACTCTATTTAATTTTTGCAATTAATTTTCTTTATTATAAATTGCATGAAATTAATTGATATAATTTGTTAATCATATTTATGTGCAATATTTGAGTGGTGAAATTAATTACGGTGTTTGTATTTCTAATTTATTGTTTAATTTGTGATAAAATTAATTGTTCCTAAAAAGTTTACTTATTTGTTTAAATTTGGGTCCACTGTGTTAAAAAGTTTAAAAAAGATTCATTAAACTCTATTCACCCCCTCTAGGATTGTCATACCGATCCAACAACTACGATGCCTAAGTTAGAACTTGAGATAGGAACAAACGGGTATGATACGAGTGAAGTAAGAGTGCGAGAAACCAAGGTGAGAAGAGACCAATATCCATAGGGATGACCACCTCAACACCAAAGGCTAGAGAGAATGGTGTCTTGTCTGTGGCTGTGGAGGTGGTGTCGTTGTTTGATCGGCTCATAGCACGCTCGACAATTTTTCTGTCCATGCTCCTTTTAGTCCATTCATTTTTGCTTTCAAGTTTTTCTTGATTATCATGTTGACAACCTCAACTTGCTCGTTGGTTTGAGGGTGAGTGGATGAAGAGCTATGGTGCCTAATGCCCAAGTTGGAGTAGTATAACGCTTAGAAAAGTTAGTGTTGTTGAATTGTTGTCTGTTGTCTAACACCAGGGTGTAGGGCATCCCAAGCCCGCACACTATATTCCTCCACACGAAATTGGTCACTTTCTGCTCTGTGATTGTCCTTAGGGTTCTATTTCCGTCCAATTGGTAAAATAATTGATCGCTACCATTGCAATCTTAGTTTGTCCATTATCCATCAGTAGAGGTTCGATTAGGTCAAGTCCCCACTGCTCAAAAGATTAGGGACCCATCATGCTTATGAGTGGTTCTAGCGGTTGTCTTAGGATCATAGCTACTCTCTTTCAACAATCACCATTTTCGGGTGAACTACTTGGCATCCTCGTGTAAGGTTTGGCAATAGTAACCTTGCTTAATCATCTTCCCGTCTAGGGACCGAGCACTCAAGTAATTGCCACACACTCCCTAATGGATTTCTCACATGAAGTATGCACAACCTCAAAGGTCAAGCACCTAAAGAGGGGAAGTGAGTAGCTACTTCGATACAGTCGCCCCTCGTGTAGGGTGTAGTAAGCACGGTCGCTCGGAGCCTCGTTCTCATGTAGGAAATGGATTATATGATCCATCCAGGAGCTTTTCCTAGCCCTGTCCTAGTCCAGCTCCATTACTTCCTATTGTATGACAATAGGCTGAGTGAGGACTTCAATGATGACTACCCGTGGTAAGTCGGTCGCATATGCCGCAGCTAACTATTCTAGAGCGTTTGTGTTGGAGTTTTGGGATCTAGAGATTTGTTTGATTTTTCCAACTTTCAAAAGGTGTTAAGTAGGCTGATCAACTTGGCTAGGTAAGTTTCTTCTTTCCCCTGGTACTTGACCAGGACTTGGTTGACAATTAGTTGGGAGTTGCTAAATATCGACAAGTGTCTCAACAAGTGTCAGCACCGACTTTGCTTTCCATTAATAGATTGACAATCAATGCCTTGTATTCGGATTCATTGTTTGAGGCATAGAAGAAGAAGCGCAGTACATAACAAAAGCGTTTACCATAAGGTGACGGAGTAGGAGACCCACGTCATAGTCTGCAAGGTCTTTTTGTTTTCGGATAATAGTAGAATTTCACCCTTTATTGATCTTCTTATGTTCTGGAAGGCCAAACAGTCCCAATTGTTTTATTTCCAACTGATTGTTGGAAATTAACGGTCTTGTATAATTTTCCCTTCCATAGAAATATCCAAACACAACAAAAAAATATGCAAATAAAAAGAAAAACAGTAAAGCACAAGTAAATGACACAACAATTTATACTGGTTCACCACTAAAGGCTACATCCAGTCTTCCATTCAAATGTGAGTAATTCATTAATAATTGTTTCAGGATTGGAATACAATAAACTCTCCCAAAAATATCCCTTAAAGGTTCCAACAAAAGCCCTATAGCTTCCAAGTAGTTTACACAATTAATACTTAGGTATAGGAATGAAAAAACACAATAGATCAAGATACAATTATCCAACAAAGACGATCTTGATCTCTCCCAATATCTCTGCTAATACCTGAGCCGCTGCCACAAAAACTGCTGCCAAAAATCCCAATTCGACTGCCCTTACAATTCTGACGCTCTTCCTTGTGTTCCACGGCCACCAATTTTTGGTTTCACGGCTGCGACCCCAAAAAAGGTGTTAATAACATATATATATATACAATATATATATGTTGTTGGTACGGCGGCAAGTGAGARGGGAAAAAAAACCTAAAAGGAACAATATCGAGCTTCCATGTTGGGCCGATTAGATTTGGCTCCAACACCCAACACCGATTTCCAATATCTTTGATAAAAAAAAAGTGCTGCAAAACCATCGGACTCGAGGCTTTAGTAGGATTCATTTGTTTGAGT